CCCCCCCCCCCCACTCTCTTCTAGGACCTGTATCCAGACTTTGCCTGACTCTGCAGGGTCCAAGAGAATTAAAGAAATATAGAATGACATGAAGAAGATTAGTTAAGGATTATAGGCTTTGAGGACAAACACCTCAGTGAAGTGAAGCACAGACAAGCTCCCAAGCTGTAGTTTGGAGGAGCCGTGTGTTGGAAGAAGATGGCAGATCCAGGAATGATGAGTCTTTTTGGTGAGGATGGGAATATCTTCAGTGAAGGCCTAGAAGGCCTTGGAGAGTGTGGCTACCCTGAAAACCCAGTGAATCCTATGGGTCAGCAGATGCCAATAGACCAAGGCTTTGCCTCTTTACAGCCATCCCTTCATCATCCCTCCACAAATCAAAATCAAACCAAGTTGACCCATTTTGATCACTATAATCAATATGAACAACAAAAGATGCATCTGATGGATCAGCCTAACAGAATGATGAGCAATGCCCCTGGGAATGGACTGGCGTCTCCACACTCGCAGTACCATACCCCTCCTGTTCCCCAGGTGCCTCACGGTGGCAGTGGTGGCGGTCAGATGGGAGTCTATCCTGGCATGCAGAATGAAAGGCATGGGCAATCTTTTGTGGACAGTGGCTCCATGTGGGGTCCTCGGGCTGTTCAGGTACCAGACCAGATACGAGCCCCCTACCAGCAGCAGCAGCCACAGCCTCAGCCTCCACAGCCAGCTCCATCAGGGCCACCCACACAGGGCCACCCTCAGCACATGCAGCAGATGAGCAGCTATATGGCACGTGGGGATTTTTCCATGCAGCAGCATGGTCAGCCACAGCAGAGGATGAGCCAGTTTTCCCAAGGTCAAGAGGGCCTCAATCAGGGAAATCCTTTCATTGCCACCTCAGGACCCGGCCACTTGTCCCACATGCCCCAGCAGAGCCCCAGCATGGCACCTTCCTTGCGTCACTCAGTGCAGCAGTTCCATCACCACCCCTCTACTGCTCTCCACGGAGAATCCGTTGCCCACAGTCCTAGGTTCTCCCCAAATCCTCCTCAACAAGGGGCTGTTAGGCCACAAACCCTTAACTTTAGTTCTCGGAGCCAGACAGTCCCCTCTCCTACTATAAACAACTCAGGGCAGTATTCTCGATATCCTTACAGTAACCTAAATCAGGGATTAGTTAACAATACAGGGATGAATCAAAATTTAGGCCTTACAAATAATACTCCAATGAATCAGTCTGTACCAAGATACCCCAATGCTGTAGGATTCCCGTCAAACAGTGGTCAAGCACTAATGCACCAGCAGCCCATCCACCCCAGCGGCTCACTTAACCAAATGAACACACAAACTATGCATCCTTCACAGCCTCAGGGAACTTATGCCTCTCCACCTCCCATGTCACCCATGAAAGCAATGAGTAACCCAGCAGGCACACCTCCTCCGCAAGTCAGGCCCGGAAGTGCTGGGATGCCAATGGAAGTTGGCAGTTATCCAAATATGCCCCACCCTCAGCCGTCTCACCAGCCCCCTGGTGCCATGGGAATTGGACAGAGGAATATGGGCCCCAGAAACATGCAGCAGTCTCGTCCGTTTATGGGCATGTCCTCGGCACCAAGGGAGTTGACCGGGCACATGAGACCAAATGGTTGTCCTGGTGTTGGTCTGGCTGATCCACAAGCAATCCAGGAACGACTGATGCCTGGCCAACAGCATCCTGGTCAGCAGCCGTCTTTTCAGCAGTTGCCAACCTGTCCTCCACTACAGCCCCACCCAGGCTTGCACCAGTCTTCACCTCCACACCCTCATCACCAGCCTTGGGCACAACTCCACCCATCACCCCAGAATACCCCACAGAAAGTGCCTGTGCATCAGGTAAGGAGATGCAGAGCCTGCCTCACTGCGGTGTGAAATTTAACGTGGTTAATTAACTTGTCTGATAAAATTAGCCTTTCAACATCATGAAAACAGTTTCATCAGGAATACCTTTTTATCTTGTAGGTTGCCTCAGAATACCCCCCCCACACCATTATTGCCTTTATTCACTCACTGGTTCATTCATTCAAGAATTCTTAGGTCCCCGTGCCTTAGGCATATGTACTAGGTGCTAAAGGTGCAGATTTGTAGTTGAAGCTTGTCCCTTCTTTTTCTTCCTCCCTTTCTCCCCTTCCCTTTCCATTCCCTTCCTCTGCTTTAAAAATACACCGAAACTTGGCTTCCAGCAAACTTGTATATTTGCGGTAGTATCTTTTGTCTCTCCTTTTGTTTATTTTCAGTGGGAAATTGTGAAATAGTATTTCTGTAATAATTTACCAGCCATTAAGTGTGTGAATTTAAATTGTAAGCTGTAGCAATTCACAGCAAGTGGTAATTTATATGATTTGGTTTGAGATTTGAATAACCAACACTGAAAGAGTCTGTTCTTGTAAATTGAGATTTTTGTTAGCCTTCCCAATTTATGTTACAAAGACATTTTTTTTCATTGTAAACTTTGGTGTTCCTGGCTTTGACTCATGAAAGACAGTGTTCATGTACAGGGCAGATGTGGCAGTGAGACCTTGTCTGAGTTGGGGAGAGGGGGGGCAGTGTTCCTGTGAGCAGATTATTCTGAGATTCCGAGTGCATATTCATCACTAGGACTGTAGCTCTCCATGGGGGCACAGTAGGTAATTTTAGAGCTGTAGGGCTTAGTGTTTGTTCCTGATGGACTTAATCAATTTGGGGAGTCATGGCCTATATGTGAAAATATAAAACAGATTAAAAGATCATGAATGATTATATGGCAGGGTCCTGGAAGAGGAAATACCTGTGAGGAGTGATTGAAATGCCACTAGAATTCACCCTAGTAAAGTTGTCTGGAAAGTGATTTCAGGTGGTTTTGGTGATTCCCCAAACAAAAGTTCCTGGAGTTGAGCCTGCTGCAAGGAGAAGTGGGCTTTAAGTTGGAAGATTTAATCAGGGAGAGGTGGCTAGGATTTTGTGTTCTTTTTTAAGGAACTGGACTTCAATGAGTTAGTGGTGGCAATTACACCATCCACAGGACAGATGGGGGAGAAAAAGATGAAGTGGGAAGTAGTTGTCCAGGGCTGCAAGGACAGTTTGGATGAGTGATTGGGTGGTGGGAGCAGAAGGGGTTGAAGCTGTATGGAAGTAAAGGGCCTGGTCAGGAAACCAGACTACTCGGTATCAGATTCAGTACAGGCATTCAGCAGAGGGGAGCTGAAGCCTTACTCTCCCCTGGCTGCTAGAGTGGAGGAAGTCAGGAAGGCTCCTGCTTGCTCAGTACTAACTGGGGTTTGAGAAAGCTGCATTCAGTGGTTTGGTGCACTGGGTATTTCAGGAGAGCCCCAGAGGCACCAAAAAGCACTGCCCAGTACATGGAGACAGAATAGGCTGAGAGAGAGAGGGAGGCAGGGAGGATAGGGAGGGAGGGAGTGAGGGAGATAGAGCAAGAGAGCTGCCTGGAGAGGTATCTGGTACCTGTCCTTGCTATTTCCTCCAGGGTCCTCAGAGGATGGGAAAGCAGTGAGGAGACAACCAACTGCACAGGTGCCATTAGAGCCGAAGTCCCAGGGAGACTGTGCGTGAGCTGGCGTCAGACTTAGCACTGAGGTCCGGAGACCTGCCAGCCTGGGTACCCTCTTGGACAGAAATGGATGTAACAATTTTTAGAAAGTAGTCTTAGTCCCTGGAAAGTTTCTTACTAAAGGGATCTTCATTCACAGTAGTGGGTTCTGATTTCTCAGTCTAGCAGCAGAAGGTGAGCACAGTTTGCAGGGATGCCCTGGAAAATGACTGTAATCCATTCCAGGACAGGAATTGCTGCTCTCCAGCTGTCCCAGATTTAAGACAAAGATACCTCCAGAGGCATTTCAGAGGATGTTAGTGACTCTGGCTGTGGAGCAGGAGACCAATCCCTATACTAGAGTGTGGGAGATCCCTTAATGGACAAACTGAGAACTTTGGAAATGTAGACAAGGACATTGGAGGTGTTTTTCAGTGCAGGTGCAGATATGTTTGTATTTCTCTTGGTATTCATGTTTGTATTTGTGCTTTTTATATCCTCTTCAGATTTTGAAACCCTCTGTTGTTTTGAAAGAAAATAAAGTTAGAAAAGTATTTAAATCTCTGCTCTCCCCTAAGTGGCTTGGTAATATGGGGCAAGTGATTTAATCTCTCTGGACCTGATATTTGAGTAAAACAGGAAAAATAGCACCCATCCCAAAGGCCACTACGATTACATTCCAAGCACGTTTAGTTCTTTTCTAGGTTGTAGTTTATGACCTTGTTTTATAATAGTTACTGTACCTGTAGATGAAAGGTAGAATTAATTTTATTTTAAGGAAACAGGTGAAATATTATGAAGTACAGCCTAAGTAACAAAATAGTGAATTTGGTTTGTGCAGCGTGCCCTCCACGATGGCAGGTTCGAGGAGGTTGATTGTGTGGCTCATTCACGTGTTCACAAGCAGTCTAAAATCTCTCTCTCAATGACTCACACTAGGCCCTAGCAAGTATGTCTTCCTAATTTAGACCTACCAATCCATACTATATTTCACATATGATAGGGTAGTAGTTCAAGATTTATGCTGGGTAGTAGGAAAATTATTACATTAGTGTGAAATAAGCATGTAATTTGATAACTGAAGTATATAAGCTTGTTGACTCTTCCTGAGTTTTTACTTTTAAAAAACAAGGTAGCCTCTTTAAATGTTTCATGGACTGTGACTAGATCCTGTCTAATTATGTAACACTTAAATGTCTCTAGAGATTACTTTTATATCAGAGAATTAACAAAGTAAAGCATAAAAGCAGAAAGATTCATTGAATCAAAACGTACAAAACTACATTTCGTTGCCTGGACATACTCATTAATGGAAGCCCCAGACTTGATATTTTGGTAAGATTTATTGAGAAAGGAGACCCTGTACCTTATGTTTATTTTTTAGTAGCTCAAATGGTGGTTCTAAAGATCTTCCAGATTCCTGCACGTCCATAGGAACTCCTGGGGAGCCCCACAGAATTTATATTTCTGTGGGCTATGTGTATTGATATGTATTGTCTTAGAAAAATCAAACTCATTAAAAGAAAAGTAAAAAAAAAAAAAAAAAAAAAAAAAAAAAAAAAAAAAAAAAAAAAAAAAACCAAAGTGACCTGTCCGGCAGAGAGCTGAGCAGTGCTGTGGAAGGCTGGGAGAAGCAGGCTTGTTTGGGGAGACTTCACCCCAGGTCAAAACCCCAGAACTCAGACCTAGAAGAGAAAGGACTTAGCAGGGATAGCTGTGTGTAAGAAGGCTCTGGGGTAGGCAAGAATGCATAGGCAGAGAGAGTTGAGTGTGGCCACCTCGGGGACACCCAGTCTTGAGGAGGAGTGTCCTCGAATGCTCACATTGGAGCCGTTGTGTGTATTTACAGTGATGATGAGGCCCTCCTTCATGGCTCATGCATCTCCTATGGCCACAGAGTGGACTGACATCTGGAAGTAAGTAGGGGCTAGAAGCCTATACTCCCCGGTTATTGTGATGGGCTGTCCCAGAAGACCCCCAGGTTCCCTTCAGGACACCAGCAGGGTCCAGTGGGCTCAGTCAGCATCCCCAGTGCCAAGGCTTTAAGGAGCTGGGAGCAGTGGAGACAGACCATATTGCAAAGAGCAGAGGGGGTGAGGGAGGAGATGGGCATGCTGGGTGGTAGGGAGTCCACCAGAGGTCAGCCAAGGCCAAGGGCCCCTGGGGCCAGGGAAGAGGACTACCTGAGCTCAGGGCAGATCAGAGGACCCTGGGTCATCCTTGAGGCTGGCAGTGGGTGTGAGGTGACATGGAGTCCTGGGGTGACCTTCAGGGTCTGCAGTCCTGGGTGAGGGTATGAGATGTGTAACTCCAGTTCCAGGGGATCCGACAGCCCCTTCTGTCCTCCTCGGGCATTGCACGACACGGGTGCACTTACCTACATGCAGGCAATACACGCATACACATGAAATAAAAATAATAAAATATTTTTAAAAAGTAAAAAAATCAAACTCAGTTTGAAAGTTTCCTTAATCTTTTAAAAATAATAGACAAAGGACTTGCAGGGGAGGTAGCTCAGTGGTAGAACAGATACTTTGCCTGTTCAAGACCCTGGGTCTTTGTGCAGGTATGATCCTGGAAAAGTTCACTACCCATTTGGATAGAGAGAAAGCAAAAAATGTGTCAGTAACATATAAATGTAGTTCTGACTTCACAGAGCTTCCAGGAACCCCAACAATACTGCTTGAAGTTGTTGCATGAAGGAAAGTGCAGGCTTTGGAGTCTGAGCTTTGGGTAGAAGTGCCATTAATTCATAACCCCTGACCTTGGGCAGCTTCCTTAGACATAGGGCCTTGATTCCATTGTGTCTAAATAGGGTTTCTTTCTGTACCTTCCTGGCTGGAGGCACGTTGAGATTAGCAATAACATCATTTAAGTGCACAGTGAGGACCACAAAATAATACAGTCTCAGGTAGCAAGTGTTCAGAATTGTCTGCTGCCAAGTTTAAAAGGTAATCTCATGGGGCTGGAGAGATGGCTCAGCAGTTAAGAGCACTGACTGCTCTTGCAGAGGACCCGGGTTCGATTCCCAGCACCCACATGGTGGCTACAAACCATCCTTAACTCCAGTTCCAGGGGAATCCGACGCCCTCTTCTGACCTCCGTGGCATTACACAACATGGGCGCACTCACATACATGCAGGCAATACACTCACACACATTAAATAAAATATTTTAAAAAAAGGTAATCTCACCAGTTTCCATGTCAAACATTGTTATAATGGTTTGACTTTCTTTCTTTGATTTTGGGGAACGTTTATCAAATAATGGAGGTACTCTATAGGCCTCTGGTTGAAGGACCAGAAACAGT